ACTTGCATGTGCTCAGACTCATCTTGTGTAAACGAGTGATGCTTCAACTGCTAAGGAGAAGAATGAACATAAACTGATCGTTGGCGGAAGGAGGCGTCCTCGTCGGCAGCCATGGTGGCGAACGAGTCGTCGCCGAAGAAATTGATGGCGGAGTCGGACGGGTGGTTGCCTCTGCCATGCTTGGATCCAGATCGGGCCTGGAGTTGCTGCTCCCGCACGACGACTTTCTCAGGCCGGTGAAGGCTGACGAGGAAGGAGGTGAGATGTGCGATGATCGTACACAGAATCTCTTCTTTAAAAAAAAATCCAATCGATGAGATTTCAGCGATTAAAGATTTGCTCGATATATGGGCGACCATCGATGATATATGATCTACTTATGTTGAAGAGAAAAATCAGATGTAACGGGCGTGCGATGAGGGTTTTCTGCTTGATATCGGATGAAAGAAAATCTTATGGCGATGGAATTGATTGAAAACAATATGGAAATTAGAATTTTAGGTATAATTGAAAATATTTGAAGCTTCTTTAGTAATTTTAAAAATTAATATACAAGAGGTAGAAAAGTGTAATATAATTTAAATGTGTTAGCATGTGGTGCAATTTCCTCTAATTTTAATTATATATATTTTTTTGGCGGAGAAGCCCACAACCCAGTGGCCCAAATCCATTTTGATGGTGGACTCTCGCCAGTCGCCAGGGGTCTAATTTAAATTTTTGTATAATATGAGGTCTTCATCTAACACTGTACGCACTGTGCAGGGACCAGTACAGAATAGTTCGTAGATTATGAGGGCCTAACTCAAAATTCTCGCAAAAACTTTCCATCGTAAGTGTCGCACCCACTCTCAGCGTCTCTTTTGTATTTATGTCCAACCGACTCGCCTAACTCTCGTATTTATCCCCAGCTGATAAAACTTTATACGAACAAAACACAAGGAAGGAGAGAGAGAGAGAGAGAGAGAGAGAGAGAGAGAGAGAGAGAGAGAGAGAGAGAGAGAGAGAGACGGTGCTCCGGTACCAGTGGTGGTCGGGTTTTCGCCGGAAATTTTGTGCGGTAAGAAAGAAATCCTTCATACTATTGCTTCTACCTGTTTTTTGTATTTTAATAATGAACATTATATTGTTTATGTGGACTGTAGTATCTGGATTTATCCTTTTGGGATCTCAGTTGCATGTGGAGTTCTTGAGTACTGGTGGTTGATGTTATTAATGAAACTCGATTTCAGCTCTTAGTAGCCTCTCGATGTGAAAATCGGGACGAAATTATTGTGCATGTGTTATGGGTATTTGGATTGACTGTAATTTTTCGTTGGCTGGATGCAATGGAGATCCCTCTGTCATGCGATTCGGCTACTTGTGTTAATTTGGCTTAATGGCTGGGGATTTGGATTTTTAGTTATTTGTGTTTTATGTTTTCCAAGTTGTTTTGCATAGATTAGGACTTGAATTTCTAATCAACTGCATGTGGAGCAATGGAGCTTGATGTCAGCTTTGAGTGACCATTCAATGTGAAATTTGGGGTTAAATCTGTTGTTTGTTCGACAGGATAGAAGTGAAGTCGTGTTCTGGACTGTGTTCATCACTCAGCTCTGTCAATCGACTTACTCAGGGGGTAATTCTGGTTGTGCATGTGCTATGGGTTTTTGGATTGATTGTGTAATCTCGTTGGTTTAATGTCATGCAGATCTATTGGTGATATGATTTGGCTGAGGATTTGAATTTATAGTGCTTTTGTTTTCAGCTTTTTTCGAGTTGATTTGCGGATTATGACGTCATGTGGAATTCTTGAGTACTGGTGCTTGACGTTAGTAATGGAGCTCTATTTTAGCTCTTTCTATGTTTTCAGTTTTTTCGAGTTGATTTGCATGGATTATGACGTCAATTTCTAATACTTTCATGTGGAATTCTTGAGTACTGGTGCTTGACGTTAGTAATGGAGCTCTATTTTAGCTCTTTCTATGTGAAATTTGGGGCTAAATCTGGTATTTGTTTGGCAGGATCGAAGTGCGTGCGGTGTACTGAACCGTGTTCATCACTCAGCTCTGTCAATCGGCTTGCTTAGAGGTTAATTCTGGTTGTGCATGTTATGTTTTTTGGATTGATTGTGTAATTTTGTTGGCTGGATGTAATGTGGATCAATCAGCCGTACAATTTGGCTAGACTTGTGTTAATTTGTCTGAGGGTGTTTTTTTCCCAAGTTGATTTGCATCGATTATGATCTCGATATCAAATCAATTGCATCTGGAATTTTTGGGTACTGGTGCTTGATGTTAGCAGTGGAACTTGATTTCAGCTCTGAGTGGTCATTTGATGTGATATTAGGGCTAAATTTGTTTTTTGTTTGACAGAATCGAAGTGCTGTCGTGTTCCGGACCGTGTTCATCACTCAGCTCTGTGAATTGACCGACTCAGAGGTTTATTCGGGTTGTGTATGTGTTATGGGTTTTTGGACCTATTGTGTAATTTTGTTTGCTGAATGTCATGCAGGCCTCTCTGTGATGCGATTTGGCTAGACTTGTGTTAATTTAGCTGAGGATTTGAATTTATGTTTTTTCCCCTTCCGTTTTCGAGTTGATTTGCATTGATTATGACAACAGATCTAAATTTTAGTTTAGACTAGTGACATTTTTGAGTTTTAAATTGCTAGAATTAAGCTCATTTTGTCTATTTCTCAATGTTCATTGGTTATGTTGTATAAAACTTCTACAAAATTATCATATTATCAATATTTTCAGATTTGGCCTGCATTGACTGGTAGGTTGGTCACCAGGTCAGTGGGTCAACCACGGGTCATCTGGTCAACAACATAAAGTAAAAAATATTTATAATAATATAAGTACTTAATTTCTTTCAAGTGAACTTAAAAAGTCTTAATATTACTTTCTTAAGTCATCTATAATCAATATATTAATATCATATAATTAAAACTCTAGAAGAAACTATGACCGACCTGGTTAACTCAGGTGTTCTGGTCAATCACCTGTTGTTTTGTGGAGCAGTCTAATTGACCAACTTAGACTGGGTTGCCTGCTGGGCTGGGCCTTGGGTCCTTAATTGCATGGTTCGTAGTTTTTTATCAGTAAATTTATTATTCGGAAACTAGCATAGATAAATACTGCATACTTTCAACAATTGTATTGAATAATTGGTTGTGGAGTTGGAACTGTTTATTATTTTTTATCTGATCTTCTTCAAAGAACAACTCATATTTTCCCAGGTGTTGCATAATAAAATATTGACAAAGTCTCTGGTAATGGCCATTTATTTGAAACTATAGTAACCATTGCTTGTCTGCAACGTCATGCGATATCATTATAACATTTTTCCTTAGATGGTTGAGTATGTAAATTTGTTCTACACATCTCACTAAGTGCATTCTTACACCGCTAACAGTTTCTTCCACACTTGGGTAGTTCAGCAATAAAGAAATGTGCGACTAGATCTTGCTATCTTCTTTCCATTTTCACGTGGAAAAAAAATATGTTTAATAACACGCATTGTTAATCTCACGGGAGATGCAACATTGAACTGTGCACAAAGTCAATTTCTGGTTATACTTATAATATCAATTTCTGCTTAAAATTGAGCTTTTGGTAATTTTTCAGGGACGCACTCACTGGGACCTGATCACATGGTGTTACCTGGTGAGCGGTGACCTTCTGAGTAACTTCGTCAAGATGAGGGTTCATACCATACATTTTGGAGCCAAAAATCAATCAACATGGTTGCTTGGGCATGTTAAGAGAGTGATTTTAGTCACAATTTTTATTGGTAACAAAATGTCCCATTAAGTTTATTGTGTTTTAGTATTTAGTTGTTTCATAGACATACATTATTAATATGTTTATTAAATGTAGAAAAAACGAATGTTTTATAGGCAATAAATTTTAAATATGTGCTTTTAAGGATTTTATTGCAGTAATTATATTTTAACTTTCTTTCTTTGGTCTCACTCAGTCATAGGATAATTATTTGTCTTAGCGACAGAAAATTTTGTTATAGTAGCCACTTCCTTCGGGCTGTAAGGATGTTGGTGCTAAATATTAATTAGGTTTAAGAAATTTGTAGCCAGCCATTTTGATTGGTCTGACGTGGCTTTAAATTATTAGCAGCGACATTTCGTCGCAAGTAGTGTGGTCCACTTTGTACCGCTTTTCTAATAGTGTTTTAGAGTTTTTTCCTTGTGGTCTATTAATTTTTTGGGGAAGACACCAAATCTTTCTTCACATAACATAAGGCATTATGGAACTTAATGACCACTTAAAAGGTGTCAATAGAATGCCTGGATTTTGGAATATCAATTCACGATTCTAAGTAATATATAATTTTTTGGTTGTTTTTTAGTCATTGATTAGGCATGTAAAACCTCGGAAATGGGCAATGCAAATTGTCTCCCTAACTCTGTCGTACCATGATTCTGCAGTCTGCACAATATAACTTATAGATCAAAGCAGTCAGAAATGCATTAAAACGGTCAATTTTCTGTTATGTGACAACGATCATACAATGTAGTTTTCGAAATAAGTTTAAGACCTTCGTGTCAGTTAAAAGAGTTAACTGTTTCGTTTATCTCATTCTCCAAGCTTTGGTACGAGAACCTGTTTCATTGAAAGCATGTTCTTATAGCTTTATTTAATCAATATTAGTGTGTACTAATCTTATGTTCTTTTCTCATTTTGTTTCGCAGATGCTGGGGATATATGATTTCCTTTTTTACATTCAGGTTCATGACATGCCTGGGGAGCAGTTATTGGCGAGCCAAGAATGTCATATAAGATAATAGAAGAAACATAATTTACCCTCTAAAGTTCTAATTATCACTAACAATTAACAAATGCAACATCTATATAGAACTTAATGTAATTACATATTTCATTAATTACATTGCCTCTTTATATACGGTTATACAATATATCATAAGAAAATAATAGAAAAAATGAAAAACTATTCACTAATATATTAGCAGATTAAAGCTCATGGTCTCGTAACTCCCTTCGTCATGTGGGTACAAACGTCCCTATATACCCAACTCCAATGAGGAAGAAAGCTCCTGCCTGTAGTAATAGGTAAACGTAAAAGTGGTTGTGTCCGAATAGCATATTGTAGATCGCACAATGAAGCAAGTACATCCCTACTAGAATCTCCAAGATGTGAATCCTGTTCATAACATGAACTTGCTTGAGTTGATGTGAGTGATGATTTGAGTACATCATGGTAAAAAGAGATTTCATCTATGGTAAATGTTTTTTGTCATATTTAAAATGCCACCTTTCCTTTACATGGAAAAAAAAGATCATTGTGTATATTGATTATTACCTCTCTCTGATGCGCGATCGAGGCTTCTTGGATGATTTTGAATTGTTCTTTTGCTTCATTGTGTTTCCCAATTTTTCGGTTACAACCCATTCATTTACTCGATTGGCCTCGAGGAGTCCTATGATTGCTGCCTTCGATCTATGTAGAGACATGACATTCTCAAACAGTATCCAGATGACAAGCAGATGCATAGACCTGTGGACAAAGTAAGTGAAAACTCCGGTCTCTCAGTTTCTTTGTATGATTCTACGTGAAATTGAAAATTAATCAGTTTCATTTTGCTCAGCTGGATCTTCTTGCCTTACAACTGAGGCTGCATTAAGAATGGTGATACACGCGGGAAGATATATAGCTAATGGTCTTGGAAGATTGACCTCTGGGACCAAGATTGTAGCTGGGATTATTATGCAATAAAAGAAGAAGGTAACCCAGTGTGCGACAATCTTCCTCACTAAAAAGAAAGCGTATATTACATGCCATTTCTTCCATAGTGAAACACGCTGCATTAGAAAAGAAAGTAATTGTGTGAAATTTCTTGGTCCGTTAAAATCCCAGAAAATAGATGAATTCGTAAAATTTATTACCTCACACATGATGATTTCTTTGAACATTTTTCGGAAGAGGTTAGCGGGCCCGCATGACCAGCGGTGCTGTTGGTATCGGTATGCTTTGAATGTGCTCGGCAGCTCATTTCTCACCTGCAAATGATGTGATTGCATTCAATTAGGTAGAAACGTTTGTGCCATAATTGCAGTTAGTGCATATGAATTAGAGTTCTGAAATTCACCGATAAATCACCAATAAAAAGGAATTTCCAGCCCTTGAGGCTAGCCCTAACTGCCAGGTCCATATCCTCCACAGTGGTTCTGTCCTTCCAGCCGCCGGCGTCATGCAGTGCTTTGATACGCCAGACGCCGGCAGTTCCTAAAATTCCAGTTGTTCATAATCAAGATACTTATGGTTCGTATTTCAAGTATAAAAACCGTTAAACTTAGATATGAATTCTCGACAAGTGACAAACCATTGAACCCGAAGAACGAGCACGTGGAGGAGCCGACTTCCTGCTCCACACTGAAGTGATAGCTTAGTGACATCTCCTGGAGCCGTGTCATCAAGCATTCATCGGCATTCACTGGTAAAATTCAAAATTGTTCTTTTAACAAGTTCTTAAACCATGTGAAGCTGTTATGAGTAGTAGCATCCTTTTCTCTCTCTCTCTCTCTCTCTCTCTCTCTCTCTCTCTCTCTCTCTTTTTTTCTTTTTTCTTTTTTCTTTTTTAACTTTACTATCCAGTTCGTACTTTTTAGATGCCTTTTACTTCTGTTATTAAAATTTTTTATCCGCGACTAAATTTTTAGTGCTTATGGCTTAATCAACTCTGCCTTACCAAATTTCCACCTTGCCTGAACCAAGGCCAACTCTGGGTTCTCGAGTAGGTATGGGATAGTCCTCCACAGGAAATCATCGTCTGGCTGAAAATCGGCATCAAATATCACAACAAATTCACAATTGTTAACGTAGTCCTTCCTTAGGCCTTCTTTAAGTGCACCAGCCTTGTACCCGTTCCTGTTGTTTCTGGTCTCATACTTGACATTAACTCCTTTTTCTGTCCATTTGCGGCATTCTAATTCCACCAATCGCTGCCAAATAAATTCTGATTTACTGATACAGTTATATATGTCTTAGAGAGGAAAGCTAAGTTATTCTTGGAGAAGAAAGGATACCCTTAGTTCGTCATTAGTGGAGTCATCAAGAACCTGCACGATGAGCCGGTCTGATGGCCATGATAGCCCACATACAGCTCCAATTGATAGCTTATAAACCTAAGACACAATGGAAAGATTTTGGATTAGTTCCTACTTTGAGTACCTCAGATCTGGAAGCTATCCTTTTACTCTGTTATTTTTAACCCGTCAGTTGATTAAGCATTAGATCCCACAGCACCTTGGTTGCCGCTTTTGTCACATACCTATTTATTAACTTCTGTTACCCCATATTCTTATTTCAGAATTTCACCGTGCACCTGATAGTGCACTATTTTCTAATCATTGCTCTATTTGTGGTAAAAAATGAATATTTTTACTGACTAGTAAATTTTTCTATGAATTGCTGTTCATGATTTTCTATTTCTGGATTACAAATTCATGACCCAAATTTGTATGTTTCCATAAGAAGCCAACTGTAATGAGGTACATTAAAGATGATAGTTCAGTGTTTTTACCTCCTTCTCGTTGAACATAGGGATCTGAACCAACACCATGGGGTAGTTCCTATTCATCTCGAGGTCTTCCTTTATGGCGTCTAGCTGGTACTTGGTGTACTTTTTCTTCCCCAGGAGTTTGACGAAGACAATTACAATTGCCATGTAGACCCTTTCAAGGAAAAGCATGATTGACATGACCAGACATAGATAAACCGCAAAGCGCAAAAGAGGGACGATAATTGGAACCCGTATAGAGTCCCACATCTTACTGAGGCGTCTCACTGGATCATAGTTCTCGTAAATCTCTGGCTCGCTAAAAAAAACAACGTTTCTCATGGTGAAGGTTTTGGAAAGTTTTCGATTCAAAAGGAAGAGAGAAAACTGAGTGAGCTTTGGGAGCGAAGGCAATTTTCAGATTAGGAAAAGTATTCAGTGATTCTTTTTGCAGTTCAGGATTCGGATTTAAATAGGCATCACAGGGGAACACGGATGCTTTGGTGAGGACGCATTTTAGGCCTTTAGTTGGAGAAAAAAATTAGAATAATTAGTATTCTTCTGAAAACAGAATTCTTAGGTCTGTGACACGCGGTTCGCATGCAGGTGAAGTTACTGCAACGTAGCCTTTGTTAGCTGGATATTTGTCATTTTCCTGCCGATACTAAGGATGGAGACTTAAATTCTGGTCGATTAGATTAAAGGTTTGGCATCTTTTATTAATTAGTGGGGTATGTAATTGTGGTTGGGCGTTGGGGATAGAGTTCATCCGTGACGTGTATTTCTGATTCACCCTTTAATGCCTTTGAGGAAAACTTTTTTTTTTTTTTTTTTCAATATTTTCATGCACTTATGAAGTTGCTTGTAGAACATGGATTTTTATTTTGCTGCATACCACCAGTAGAGTTGTTAAGATAACACGAATTGAATAGTTTTAGAATTTCACTATCGTCATTGGCCTCTATAATGCATTTTGGTTTAGTAACAAGTACTGAATGGATTAATGAGTCAGTAATAGAGAAGAAAACATCTTCCGAGTTTTGATATAATTTGACTTAATGTTTCACTTGTATCATTTAACTAGGCTTTCGTAATTTTCTTTTACCATAAAAAAGGGAAGAGAAGTATATAGCAACTGTCAAAAGGGAAAATAAAAGTTAATGAACAGGATAAAGAGTGATTGACTTGAAGGTGTTGATTAGTGTGCTAGATTCTCATAAATTATGTTAACCTAATATCAAAAAACATTAATTACTTTAGATTCTCAAATTATTATCAGATCGGTTGGGTGCTTCATTTTGAGCAAGACCATTGTTACTGCTGCAGTTAAATTCAAGGATCTGATTTTTCTCTCTTTCAGTTTGTGCATATATACACTGAGGCAACAACTACATTTTTATGTTCTTTGTTGATTCTTGGGCTAGTAATGCTAATCGAACACAGTGTGTATCTCATTCATTGTTTTGCACAACTTTAAGCATTTTCGATTATGAAGTGGGACCTACACATATCTATCTTGGAGGTTGTGGTGGACATGTATGTGCTTCATTTTGGGATTTACAAGATGTTATCTCGGTCGAACAACCCCTTTTCCTTTTCACATTGCTGCAAGTATGAATTTTCTTTAATTTGGATCTGTGGGACTGTGAGGGATTTGTTTCAGGGGTGGTTATGAGACTTTGGGTTGCAGTAAATAATAGTAAAATCTTGTCTTACCTATTTCTATAATTAAAATAAGCATCTAAGTTCAGGGTATAATAGTTCATACTATGAATTAGTGGGATTCTTTTAATTTGTCTTAGAACTGTTTTTACTAATTAGTAACTCTTATCTCGGTCGAGTTAAGCTACCTGAATGAGATATTTATTAGCTCATATACTGTGGTTGCATGTACAGCTAGTTCATGGAACTGAAATAAGTGCGATTGATTTTTTTGTTCATGTAATAAAAAGTAATATAAAGATGAAACCACATCACATTCTTGAGCTCGTCAAGAACGATTTCACCAGTAAGCATTCGATCCATCATCAAGTTCAGATTCTGAGCTGTATGAAAACACGGTAAATGTTGGGACCCTCACAGGTAGCTGTAAGTTCATCTCAAACTTCGTTTTTTTATTTTTTTATTTTTTTCTAATTCTTGTAAATGTTCTTTTGAATTAACAAGTGCTGAAATAGAAACACAGTTGACATTTGTTTTCGATTTTGGTACGCAATTTGTGTCATCATAAGCCTCAACTCTGGCTTGAGCATATGAGGATTTTGACACATTCCGGGATGTGCATTTCTCACCCAGCATACAACTGGTAAGTCTCATATTATTCGCTTTAAAAATAATTTTCATATACTACTAATTTTGTTATTGTCTTTTCCTTTCACATTTTTTGCTGGAATTAATCTCACCAATTAACCTGTGAGTTTCATGAGTGCACACTCACTATAAAATTAGTGTACACTATTTCACTTTTGTTTATCTTCAATTTGTGCGTAACAATTCTATTGGTAATCTTTTTTTCTTCAGATTCTACAGATTGTATTTCAGGGTCACAGCTTTCTTCTTCTGCTGCTGCAAAACAACTCGCGTACTTCCAACTCGTTGATTTCTATACGAGAGGATTGGAAGGTGCAAAAAGAGCATATCATGGCCAATTGGAAACTTAGCTGTGACAAGAGCTTGAACTCTATATATAATATTCCCCTGTACACATATCAAATATCAGTCGGACCCAAGCGAGGTCATATGTTTTCATGCAGTAGTTGACATTTACTGTATGAACATATGCTAGTATGGTACATAATCCTCTATAGGAGGCATTCTCTTGTGTTTTTCTTGTAAAAGTGTTGTGAAGTTCGAGTGATTTGGGTAATTTGGCACTCTGTTTTGGACAGTCTATGACCTGTAGCTGCATCATCCTCGCATAAATCCCATCCGGATATTTTTTTCAGCAAATGCAAACAAGACCTTTGCTCCACCACTCTCCCCTCGTCAAGAATCGGACCGGCTGCCGGAGGCTGGCGGCAAAGATGCTGGAGATTCTGAGTTGACAGTGGCACCGGTCTTGAAGTTGACGGCGGGTGGCCTCGCCGGCGAGCAGAGTGGCCTTGGCGTGTGCCACTTTGAGGTTGCCGGAAAAGCCGTTTCTGAACATTTTCTGTAGGAATAACGGTTATTACATTTCGCAACTCCATTTTGGTGGTAGCCGTATATATTTGATTGGAAATATAATTGAAAATTTGATGCTCGTTTTGGTTTGGTGGAAAATGGGAAAATAGAAAATGAAGTTTTACCCTCACCATAGAGTTTTCCAGAGTTTATGTGTCAACAAGAGCATTAATTTGATATCAATAATGCATATATAAAATATAAATAGATATATATAAAATATAAATAGACATATATAAAATAAATAGATATAGTTATTGTTGTAATAAAAATAAGTTATCAATTGATATTAATTGGAAAGTTATCAATTAATAGTAATTGGAAAATAATAAATTTATATGTAAAATTATTATATGATATGAGTTGGAAAAGTAGTATAAAACGTGCAAGTGAGTGAAAACAATAATCTAAACTTGTAAAAACTATTTTTAATTTAAACAAACAATTTTCTTATCTTTTTCCATAAATTGAAGTATAATTTTTTTTTTTCTTTTTTATTTGGCAACCCGGGTGTTTTTTACTGGTACATATCTTAAGTCGAGAGAGGAAACCATGGTCGCAGGTCCGCAACCATGATTGGAAAAACAATGACGAGCGCCAGCCGCCACTCGAGCACGAGCTCTAGATAAGACAAGGCTTCAAAATAATTATCTATAGATTGAGATATTAAGGCTCGAACTCATTTATCTACTTATTTTGCTAATGGTACGACTCAATTAATATGCGCTCCCAAGAGTGAGGGAGGAAAAAAAAAATACTGCTCAAGACTTTTCAAAGCAAAATGTCATATCCTTATCTCTGACGCTGTTTGTTCCATTTTTGTTGTTATTTTTATCATTATTTTGTTGGTCGTTTCCCCCGTTCTAGGTAGTTTTTTAGGATTTTTCGGTCTATTTAGTCGTTTCGTGTGTTTTCATTGTTATTTTAGTGTGTTTGGTACTTTTGTTATTTTCAGTCCTATTTTCTTTGTTTTCTATTTCTTTCGTTGGTGTGATTTCAGGTAGTAGATCGTCCGGTTGTCGTTCCCCGTCTGATTCCGAGAAGTCCTATACTGGTTCGTGTGACCAAATACGCGAAGGCCAAGATTCCAGCTCGAACGGGACCCGCGAGACATTAGCCGAGAGTACGAAAGCCTGATAGTTAAATTTTGGAGCTGACCGACCCTTAGCGCCCCTAAGGGGGCCTAGTGCCGCTAAGCCCGGGCCCTTAGCTGCGCTATGGAAAGAAAACGAGGGCAGAAGTTGTGCACTAAGTGGCCTTAGCGCCGCTAAGGAAGGTTAGAGCCGTTAACCCCGGTTCCTTAGCGGCACTAAGGAGGGTTAGCGCCGCTAACCCAGGCTGGCAGACAACACATTTTTCTTTTCCTCAAATCTGGCATCTTTTAGCTGGCAGACAGTGGAGCACGTTGAGGACACTTACTGGAAATGTGGTTTTGAGATTATAAGAACATGCTCTTTTCATCATGTGAAGGACTCATTATCTTCTATCACCATTTTCTCCCATCTTTTCATCATCATCTTCTTCCATTTTTCTTTTATAAGTTTTTCTTAAGTTTGTATTTTGTTTTTCTTGGAGAATTGTTGAAGACATTGTTGTACCTTGGATTAAGTTTGCATTTGCTCTTGATTTGTGGATTTCTCATTATTAGTAAGTTATCTCTTTCATTTGCTTATGTTAAGGATGACCTATTTTTATGTGAATTTGCATGTTAAATTTACTATGAGCAACTAATCCCCTAGCTAAGGTTAGGGGATAATCGTTTCGGTCCGTTCTCGTTTAGGTGTGTTTCAATTGCTCAATCTTTACAAGTTCTATTAATTATATGATTAAACGCTTGATCACCATGTTAATCTATATAATCGATTTCAAAACCGAGAGGGGCGAAATTGGTAGAACTTAGCTCGTTTAGAGTAGACATGTTCGGAGACGTATTTTCTATGTGTTAATCATTTCGTTAATTTGTTTGTTTATGTTTAGCCACATGTTACGAGAGTTATTGAGGTTAAACCACTAAATGAGTTAATTAATTGAACCATTTAGTTGAGTTAATGGATTGTTGTTAAATGTGAGTAGAACCGATATTGATTGTCCCCGATACCTTAGCCCGTTTATATCTCTTTGAATTGTCCTATTAAGTTAGTACATTTAAATTGGTTTAGTTAAAAATCATTAGTTAAAAA